AGGGAGGTCGTCGCCCCTCCGCTTCGCCTCCCCCTCCACCTCCCTCGGCGCGACCCCGCTGCGCCAGAAAAGGCATGATTTTTGCCTTGAACGCCGCTTCGCCGGCCGCCGCGAGAGGAGTGCCGCCAAACTTCAGCCGCGTCAGCGGCGCTACGGCAGCTTCAGCCAAGCAGGCTGTTGGCTTGCTTGTTCGCCGGTCCCTCTTTGAAAAATAAAATGCTAAATCAAGAGCAACAAAGCGAACCTTAATTTAGGATGGGGGGGGGGGGGGCTGAAAAAAGCGACAAGCGGGGGGCAAAGAATTAAAATCTGTGGGCAATGCGGGTCTTAAAAGTTGTTGCATGTCGTATGTGCTGACTGATGCGGAGCTGGTAAAATACTACCTTTGTTTCCTGCTTGCGGTATGTAACTGATGCAAATCAAGAACCTGATTTGCAAAGAAATGCGTAATTTGCTTACCTATGTAATCGCAGGACAGTCAGTGAAGTTATTTGTATGACTCGTTATGCAACTACTTTACTGATTTCAAGGTTTAAAAGAAATCGCTGAAACTCACAAGATTGTGAGAATATTCATGCACGTTCTGCCTGAATTCTTCTACTGAGATCAAAGGTGTTTGTGGGTTGAGGTCAGTGAATTGTTTACTTGCCAAAGTTATTCGAGGTCAGAATGCGTCCTGATTGCGTTTAGGTTTTTATATCTCAGGCATTTATTGAGAGTTAAAGGCTTCTTTTAACTCTCATCCAAGGGTCATAACACTTCTTTTAAGTGTCTGATCAACCTCAGTTGCTGGCAGGCCAGGACCATTTAGAAGATGGTGACTCTAATAAGAGTTGCAAAAACAAATTATTTTTTTTCAGATACAAAGTTCAACTTTTTCGGATATATCTACAATGATTTATGGTTTTGTTAAGTGTTTTATATTAAAACTGTTTGGTTTACGATTATGATTACATGTTATCAGTGGTATAACAAACAAAGCTAAAAATAGCTCCGAGTGGATCGTTTCAGAAACCTTATGGATTGTACCTCTTGCTTGTAAATCCAATACTGTCAGTATGAAAAATACGAGTACTTTCTAGGTTGGCAGTAGTGTTAAAAGAAAGAAAGAAAATGAAATAAATAACGAAAGACTAACTTTTTTTTCCAGCATAGTAGGTTCCTTCTTCCCTAGATAAACTGTTGGGAGTGTAGCAACCTAATCCAAAGAGCCACGTAAGCAAGAAAGGCCCTGACTGGGAAAGTTTCGGGTTAATTCTTGTATAGTTCCTCAAACAAGTTGCGGGGAGGGGGGTGTCGTTACCTTCTTCTCAGGCCTCCTTTTCCTTTGGATACAAGCATTTGAACAAGTAATTATTTTCAGGATCCAGCTGGTATTCTTGCTTGACACATGTATGTAGTATTAACTTAAGAAGTGTCTTCAGCAGCCATATGCGGGACAATAGCAGCCATATGCGAAGAAGCTAACTGGGCTAAAAATGTTTTTCTGCCTTCAGCCAGCTTTTACCATAGGCAACTTTTGCAGTAGACTATATTGCATGTGAGATAAACCAAAAAACTGGTCTTAGGAATCTTTTTTTATAGCTTCCCACACTATCAAAAAAGTTGGCTCTGGATGACAAAGTTTTCCAGCCTGCGTGTCAAAGGTTTTCATGTGTCTGAAACTGCCCCCTTGTCACCCTTATGAATCAAAAGGCACTGATACACAACTTTACAAAGTTGAAGGAAAGTAATCCAAAAAACTTGGTAACGCTTTCTCCCAGTTTGTCTTCCCTAGCTTAACTTTCTTCTCACTGGGGATGATGCTAAATACAGCTTGAATGAGTATCACTCCTCAAAGTCGTGACCTTCCTCATTTTCTCTCCTTCCCTCCTCCTGCCCATACACACCTTTCGTTCTCTTCATAGTGGCTCGAGTCCTCACTGGACTGCTCTAAGTCAGCTCAGGTAGCTAAATCTCTTGAGATTCATTTACCTAACAATAAATCATGACATAAAGTAGAATAGGTGCCTTAGTTTTCACTCCCATCATTTGGAAACTGTCATCTGTTGCTGTAAGAGTTCACCTGAACGGCATTTTCAGATTGTTAGCATTGAGCAGTTTATGAGAAGTCAGGGTCTTTCAAGGCAGACACACAAACTGAATAAGCAAAACCAAACAATACTTTCCAGCTGGATTAGTAGCCCGATGTAGTTCAACCTGTTATCAGGCGAGTATCGCAGCCTATACAAATAAAAGAGGTAGTTTGCACATTTGGAGCGGTGGTAGAGAGACAAGGGGAGGAGGACTGGGGATTGCAATCTTCCCTAAAGGCTGCCAATGTGCTGTTGGCTTGTCTCAGCCTTAACATATAGCGTCGTGTTGGGGATAGACTTTTTCGCATCCAAATGTGTCAACAAACAACCGTATCCCAGTAGGAGCAACAGTTTATCACCAAGGGTGAACTCACCTAAGTGTGCTACCAGGGTTGCCACTTGGATGGCGGACGAGGAGGATGTTAGCAGGGATCGCTCCGATGCATTTGTTCTTGGCTTAAAAACACATATTGAACTAAATTGGGCAGTTCATACATTCAGACATCTTGTTTTAATGCTCTCTGCATATATCACCTATTAGGCTTGCCTCACAGTTGCTAGCTTTTGTTCAAAATGATGAGGACTAGAAATTTGGTTTTAGTAATGCAAAATTCAAATCTTTCATATCCACTGTCCTTGTACGTGTGAGCTTCTAAAATCAGGACCTCCGGATCTACTTCTAATTACTTTGACTGAGCTCTGCGTGTTGATGATTTCCCTATTTTGATATGCTTATGTCTTTTTTTCTCCCTCTTTATACTAAAAAATTGATTACAAGTTATTTCATAACTTTTGAGTCCAATCTATGTACAAACAAATCTGTAGTTCAGAGAGGCAGGTCAGAAACGTAAATTATGAGTGTTCATTGACAAAAAAAGCTGCTGTTATATCCACCATATCCACTTTTTATCTTATTGCTGCCAACCTGCCTGGCATAGGTTACCATCATCTTGTACTCTCCTCCTGGCTCTTTGGCCTGAACTGCGGTGGGAGGTTAATGCTTTTGTCTTCTTATTGCTCTTTGCAGGCATGTAACTGTATGTGATTGTATTTTAAGGACACAAATGCCTTCTTTTCCGCTTCTGTTCATTAAGAAAAGGCATTTGTCATCATTTTATTAAGATTTTCAAATTATTGCAGCGCTTCACAAGGACTCGATCTTTTAGATGGTAACTGTTCAAACGGCCTTGGAAAAATCATAGACTTTTAAGGAAAGCAATATACACAAAATCACTGTAGATTGCTGGTCATATTTGGTAACTGTGGCCTAATTTTCTGATTTTTTAATTC